GTCCTAGTTCCCTAGCTAGGCTAAGTTATAGGTTAGGTAGATAGTTAGGGTTATATTATCTTACTAAACCGTATTATTAATACTATTTTCCCTTAATAAGAAGCTTCTTCTAGAGATCTAGTTATAAAATATAATAATCTCTTTATAAATACTATTTTTAGTATACTTACGGTATTAAAAGAAGGTCTATCTATAGGAGATAATAATATCTCTCGCTAGATAATTAATTCCGGTACTAGTATCTATATAACCTCTTATAGGTCTATCTTCGTTAATTTTAGGCCCTATATAGTCCTAGTTTCTACGGCTATAGGCGACACTTTTTATACTAAGGGCTATAGAGACGTTATTTTAAGAATATTAAATATATTAGACGAATATATTAGACCTTTTATCTTATATAAGGTCTAGCTTACCCTAGATCTTAAGGCTAGCCTAATCTCTATATCTATACTAGATAAGGAAGATATCGGTACCTTAGTTAAAAATAGGGTTATAACTTTTAAAGCTTCTAATTCTACTATTAGCTCTAGCTCTAATACTATTATTAGTTTTACTACCTATAAAGGTGAATATTACTAGCTTAACTACCTAGGAATTAATAAAATTAATACTATACTTTCTAATAATCTAGATATACTAACTAGATCTCTAAACTCTATTTTTACTACTAAAAATAGAAATAGGTCTTCTATAATTTCTATTAACCTAGCTTACCGATATACTTATTATACTAAAGAAAATAGGGTTCGTAAGATAGAAACCTATACCGAAGGTATTAAATTAAAAAAAGGTACTAGCGTTACTTTTCCCTATACTCTATATATTAAGGGTAAGGGTTATACTCTCCTATTTAGAAAGGAAAGGTCTATTAGATCTAAACTAGGCGAATATTTATATATCGATATCTAGGGTCTAATCTTAATTATATTATATAATAGAGAAAAATACTTTATTACCTTTACTAATAACGCTACGCGCTTTTACTAGCTTTTTCTACTTAAATCTCGGTCTTAGGTAACCGAGACTTTTATTTAGCTAAAAAATTATCTTTAAACTTAATTTAGCTATTAAGTTAAAAGGGTTTATAGTAATAATACCTCGGAGTATCGGCCTTTAGGCGTATATCTTTCGAAAAATAGTATTATTTAGGACCCTACTCCTTCTTATACGAAGTAGCTAAATAGTGTTACCGAGATTAAAAATCGATACCTCGTTAAACCTCTTATTACTATTATATCTAAATACTAGCTTCTAAAATACCTTTAGGGTTATCTACTAGGGGGAATTAACTATACTATAAATCGACTCTTTACCTCGAAGATTAGTATATCCCTATATAAGGCCCTTTATAGGAAGAAGCCTAATCTTAGTAATTTATATATATTTAGCTATTAATACTAGTTCTTAATTCTAAAGGAAAAACACTCTATAAAGCTAGATCCGTATATATAGGAAGCGAGATTAATTACTTATAACGAAGGAGATAATTATATACTATATAATATACGCACTAAGAAGATTAAACGCTCCCGAAATATTATCTTTAATAAAAATCTAATACTAGAGGCACTACTTATACTAAACTATAATCTATAGATACTAACTTAGGGTTAATCTTAATCTAGATCTTAGTCTTAAGAGCGATACGTTCCGATCGACTTTATTTATAACGAATATAAAAATCTCTTAGATCTACTAGATACTAATCTTCCGGAAAATAAGTATAATACCCTATAATTTAATAATCCTTTTAAGATTTATACTAGGTCTATACTACCCTCTCCGGTAGTTAAAGACTACCTAAAAGATATTATATATTCTCCGGCGAGTCCTCCGCTAGATACTACTAGTCCTATTATATTAGAGCCTAATATTTAATTTTACGATACCTCTCTTAATACCTCCTATAATATCTTCCTTAACGATCTCCTTCCGAACCCTAATTCTTTCGAGTTACCTTTTAACGACGGAAATAATAAAATAGTAGGTAGTCTAAGTAGTAGTATAGAGGGATAACGGTAGGAAGATAGTCCCTACTTTAACGTAGGTAGGGTTAGGGCTCCTATAGAGCTATAGACTACTTCCCGGTAGTTTACTATAGACTTCTCGTATTTAGGCACTCTTCTAGAACGTATAGATAATCCTAATTTCGTTATCCTAACTAGATCTCGATAGACTAAGTCTAATTAAGATAGGGTACGACGTTTAACTAGACTTAGGAAGCCTAGTTAGGTATATATTAAAAGCTTAGCTAATCGATTATTCTTTAACGTAAATATCCTATAATTTCTAGCTAATTCTCCTAATATCTTAATTAATCTTTTTACTATAGCGATAACTAAAGAATAATATACTCTATCTAAGCTAACGTCTAAGGACGTAGATTTTAAACTAAATAGCTAGAAGGAAGCTATATCTTATATTAAAAAAGATAAATAGTTAATAGTAGTATATAAAGAACTAGCTCGATAACTTAAAAACGGTACGTAGCGGCGTATTCCTCGATTATCGAAAAAAGGTCGACGACCCCTAATATTACGATAGGTATTTAAGATTAAATATAATAGAATCTATAAAGCTTAGCTAGTTACCTATAGTTTTTAATAAATTAAGGATCTTAACTTCTATAAGGTCTATACTATTATTACGAAACCTATATCTTTTAAGATCTTTACTATAATTACTACCTCTAAAGGTTAGAAAATATACTATATTAATATTATAACCGCCTTCCTTTATACTAAACTAAAGAAGCCTATTAAGATAGAGCTACCTAAGGGACTAAAAGAATAGTATCCGGATAATATTAGTCTCCTAATAAAAATAATTTATAGACTAAAGTAGTCTCCTAGAGAGTAGTATAAATTACTCTATAACGTACTTATATCTATAGGTTTTACTCGTACTTAGTTAGATTATTCTATCTTTATTAGGTATAGTAGTTCTTAATATAGTAGTTCTTAATATAGAAAGGCCCCCTTATACGTTATAATTTACGTTAACGATCTATTAGTTATATCCCTATTAGATTAAGAGATTAAGGACTTTAAAGTTACTATTTCGAAATATTTTAATACTTCTGATAAAGGAGTCCTTAAAAGATATTTTATAATTAATATATACTATAATAATAGTTCTATCTATCTCTCTTAGAGTGACTATATTAATAAGATTCTTACCTACTTTAGTCTTAAAAATTGTAAACTAGTCGCTACCCTAATAGATAAAAAAATACCCTTTATTATTTTTAATAGTATTACGTTAAAAATTAAAATTAAGGAGTTTTAGATAAAAATTAGGACCCTAATCTAGCTAATAGTCTCTATGAGACTAGATATTACTTTCGGTATTATTAGGCTTACGAAATATACTAAAAACCTAGGTACTAGCTACTTTAAGGCGTTAAAACGAGTTTTTTACTATCTTACTAGCACTAAGTATCTTATAATTTACTTTTATCTATTTAAGAAATATAACTTTATTAATTATTATACTAGAATTAGAGACTATCTTCTTTTCGGTTTCTATAATACGGACTAGGTAGGTCTATATAGCGAAAAGGGTCTTTTAATATCTAGTTTTATATTTAAAATAGCGGGTGGAGCTATCTTATAGACTTCTAAAAAGTAAGCTTATATAGTATTATCTACTACTAAATCTAAATATATTATAGAGGCTCTTACTACGTAGGAAGCTATCTAGCTAATTTAGTTATTAATAGAGATCGGTATTTCGGGACTTTTTTAGAAGCCTATTCCTATTTATACGGATAATAATAGTGCTATTATACTAGCTTCTAACCCTAAATTTTATACCGCTACGAAATATATTGCTATTAGATACTATCGACTTCGTGAGGAAGTTACTATAGGAACTGTGAACTTTATTAAGATTCCTACTACTAAGATAGCTGCTAATAGACTAACGAAACCCCTTAGGAAGATCATATTTAAAAGGTTTGTTGCGTAGCTAGGATTGACTATCTATAACTGATTGAACGTTGATTTTTATGCTGAAAATGGGGGGTTTAACTAAATACTAGTTTTTCAAAATGGAGAGAGATGGAAAGGATTAGACAGTTTACGACTATAGCACTAGTCGTGGGGGGTATTGCGAAGACACGTGACCTCCTAGCACTTTAGTCTAGTCTAGCTAGCTTTCCTTCTTCTTCCTTTTCTCTCAGCACGCACAATACAAGATTTTCCAGTCCACTCCTTCTTATGAGTAGTCGTACAGGATCATCTCTCTATCAGTTTCACAGGAAAATTACTCATGTCCAATTTAGATGAAGTTATTTTGAATGGCAGCAATCCAGAACAACAATCACAAACAGGGCCAACACCGGGGCAGGAGCTGGAACCGGAAACAGACCCAGAACCTATGCCAGAGCCAGAGCCAGAAACAGGACCACTATTTGTATGCCCTTATGAGTCGAGAATGCTGAGCAAGAAAGCGCAAATAAAAAAGTACCGTGCTTCACCGCCGCCAGAGATCGAATTTGCGAAATCAGTCTATGTTCTAAGCCCATATGAACGCCGGCAGAGTCAATTCAACGGCCTTCGCTTTGTGGGAGATGAGGCCACGTCTTGTCCTAATCCGGATTTCCATGCCCACGCAAAATTATACGTATTCGCGACACGATATCTTGTGGACCCGTTAAGAGAACAGTGCTTGAAGTCACTTCATCGTGACCTCTGCAGCCTTTCTCTAAACAAAGAAACTACGACATATATCCTTGATCTGCTCGAATATACCTATGAGCAGACAAGTAGACAAGAGCCAGGTGGATGTTATTCCATTAGGGCGTTAGTTATCCTCTATATCTCGTGTGAGGTGCAAACACTCGTTGAGAATACTCGATTTCGGCGTATTTTGGACGAACATGGAGAGATGGCCTCTGATCTTGTATTAAAGCTTGTTGAATAATGGGACTGGGACACTCAACTAGGAAAGGGGAACCATGGTAGACATAATATGAGCAATGAGCCTGCACATCTTTATCCCCGTTCACTCAGACAAACAACAACATCACGCTTAGGTCCCAACTCCTTCGCAACATGCATACCACCAGAAATAGCATAAGAACCCTCAAGTGCAGGCATAGTTCCCTCAAGCTGGCAGAGCAACGAAAAAGCCATCAGGGCATCCGAATCATTTGCCGCAACGAACCTAACCCGACCAGATCCCTTCCAACTCGACAACTCAGGCCCAACACCAGGATAATGAAGCCGAGAAGAGACAAAATGCATCTTGTCAACCTCCCAATCGTCATCCTCAGACGAGGGAATCTGCAACCCCGGCGACTCACGAACAGGGCCTCGATCCAGCAAAGCAGAGTTTTGGCCCGCCATGGACGCATCACCATCCGCCTGGACACCGACAAGAGCAACAGATGCGTCACCTAGGAAAGGATAGAACATACCAACAGCATTCGATCCACCGCCCACACAGGAAACAAGCGCATCAGGCAGTCTACCTGCATTCACCGCACCGAACTGAACCCGAGTCTCAGTTCCAATGACAGTCTGGAACGTGCGCACGATAGTCGGATACGGATGCGGGCCAAAAGCGGAGCCGATAACAAAATGCGTCATCTTCAACTCCCTCGCCTAGACACTGAAGGCCTCATTGACTGCGTCGCGGAGTGTACAATTTTCCCCACTGCGCAGCACATCAACAGGGACAAAGTCTGCACCGAGGATGCGCATGTGCAAGATAGTCAAAGCTAGATCTTTGCATTCAAAGCCCTCGGGGCCCATAAAAATGGTGCATTTCATGCCAAATTGCGCGCAGAGAGTTGCTGTTGCGACGCCGTGTTGGCCAGCCCCTGTTTCGGCATTATGGAGGTTTTGGCGAGTCGGCGCGCGAGGACGATTTGGCCCAGCGCGTTATTGATCTTGTGACTGCCGGCGTGGTTGAGGTCTTCGCGTTTCAGCCAGATGCGTGCTCCGCCTGTGTGTGCGGTTAGGCGTGGGGTTAGGTGGAGGGTGGAGGGTCTGTTGGCGTATGTTGCGTAGGATTTTATCTCGGCCCAGAAGGTTGGGTCTGCGTTTGCTGCCTAGAATCCGTTTTCTAGTTCGGTCAGGCCTTCTGTTACGGATGTTGGGGCGTATTCTTCGCGGAAGGCTCTCAATTGGGTCGTGTCTATGGCATTGGTGGCTTCGTCGGTGTCTTCGGGTGCATCATTTCCTCCATCGTTGGGAAGGTAGATAGTAGTGGAAGACAAGGGTTGGGTAGCTTGCTGTCTTCTTGCGGTTATGACAATTTGATCCCAAGTGCGATCAGCAATTTTCTTCTCCCTAATGAGGTCTATGATTACCTTTCCAGTGAATTAACAATTCAGCTCCTGGATGAGCTGTAAGCCCACCTATAGCTAGTTGCAAAGAAATATGGTCATCAAATCGACGCGCTGCATCCGCAAAAGGCCAAGGGACGCTCTATCATCCCAACCGAAGTCCCAAGGCTCCATTTCATTTGGAACAGGAATCAGGTCTACATGAATCTAGTACCTCTATGCTTGGTGAACTATGAATTTTGGGTGCGGTATCTGCAGCCTCTGAAGCGAGTATTATTGTCTAGAACTTCTTCGCCTGTTCCCAAAATTCCCGAGCCAGCCGCTTTGCTGTTCGATAGCCCGATTGCGATAGGGTTTTGCGCTCATACGCATCTACCATCAAGCCCCTCCTTGACTTTGCGATTGCAAAGAAGTCTTCTCTGACCCCGACTGACATTGACTGGGTCCAATGGGCCGAGACCACTCACTCGACATCCGACGTGTTGTCTACTCTGACGCCTCTGGTCGACAGGACCACCTAGGCGCCGCCGCTGTCGCACTCGACAACAACCAAGAGATAGTCGAGGCGCAGCAGGTCCAAGTAGGACCGATGAGCCGCTGGTCTGTCCACGTCGCAGAGCTTGTAGGCATCTTCTACGCGATCAGTGTAGTGTTCAAGATCGCCCACCAACACTTGGGAACAGCAGACAGGCAACTGGCAGCGACGATCCTGTGCGACAGCCGGTGAACTGCTACAATGCACCTATACTCACCGCGGAAACATACCCTGGGAGGAAAACTGCCTTCTGATGGTCAGAAGTGGACGCCAAACCTAGAGGCAGTACGGGCCTCCATACGTTTCGCCATCGCGACGGGCCGACTCGAGGCCACTTAACCCTGTCGACGAACATAACCCCCCCCCCCCCCCCCTTTTTCTCTCTCTACTCCGCCTCACCAACCACCTCATGCTACAGATGGTAGACGCGCTTCAACTGCCGAAGATAGGATTTTTTCGGCAGAATGTTGTCAAAGTTTATTAAAGCGACAGACTGCAACGCCTTTTTGAGTAATGGTGGAAGTTACGGCTTTTAGCGCTACTAGATGATATGCCTTAGAAAACGCTAAAAAAGAAAATAAATTGAACGTTGCTATCCATAGAATAACATAGCCCTTTAATACACGTAGGTAGATAATATAATCAGGCAACTATATTTCTTTTATTAAAAGTCTTTAGCTATACTAAGAAAGAGATAAATCGCTACTTCTCCGCCTAGAATAGTCTGGAAAGCTTATCTATTTAGTTTGAAAACGCATAACTAAAACATAATAGAATTATATTCCTTATATATATATAATTTATTATAATACTATTATTATAGAAATTTATATTAGGTATTTTAAACGATATATTATATATAAATATATAATATAACGTTTCAATCGTATAAATAGTCCTTATCGGCGTTAGAATATTTTCTATAGGTGAATTTTGCTTTTTTAAAGCGCTCTAGCTCTATATAAGTAGACACGGCTTTATTCGTAATTATAAATTCTTTATATCTATATAGTAGTAAATAAGCCGTAAGTTATAATACTGTCTTTATCTTAGATAAGTTCTCTAAAGATAGAGGATCGAGATAGCTAAGAATCATTTTAAAATATTTCACCGTAATTTCGATTAATTCCTTATTAATAGCCTGATTTTTGAAAGATTCTAAGGAAAGACATTCCTTTCCTACGCCTATATATTAGCGATTATTCGAGGGTAAAGACGAGATATTTAAATTTATACTTATATCTCTAGTCCCTATTTTCGCACGAGCTTCCGGGTAGTAAGTAGAGCCCTTTCTCTTTTTTTGTAGGCCTTAGCTATATTATAGTCCTCTAAGGTATATTTCTTCGTCTTTAAATCATCTAGACTCGCGACTATAGTAGCGACCGACGTGACTTTAGAAATAGTATCGGACGACGGCTACTACCGATCGCATTCGTCGAGATTTCCGTGGGTATTAGGATTAGTTAAATCCTCGAAGATAAATCTAGTTATGGGCCGGGGATTTCCTTATATAGATATGGTTAGCGAAGAGCCATATTAAAGAAGAAAGTGGAAGGTGTTATATATATAATTCATTAACGCCCGGCGGCTGAGCCGAAAGGGCAACTATCACTAATCTACTAGTATATATATATTTCGGTATACGCCGTATCTCATTAGAGCCTATATAGTATTTCCTTCGGTATTAACTTCTTAGCTTTCAATCTTATAGTTAGACCCTATAGGTTAGTATTAGTTAGTAGACTAGCTTAAAGGCGCTTCTTTAAGTGTTTAATATCCTATCTTCGGTAGTTAAAGCGCGTCTACCGTTTATAGTACGAGGTGGTAGGTAAGTAAGGTCGGAAGAACGGGGTAGGGAGTTCTATTCGTTAATATATTTAAGTGGCCTCGAGTCGGCCCGTCGCGATAGCGAAACGTATAGAGGCCTATACTACCTCTAGGTTTAGCGTCTACTTCTAATTATTAGAAGGCTATTTTCCTCCTAGGAAGAAGGATATATTTCCTCAGTAAGTCTAGGTATATTATAATATTTCCGCTCGGTATACCGTCTACTTCTAATATCGGAAGAGGAAGTGCTCTACGGTCTCTCTTACTTATCTATAATCGTATTTATTAGTCTCTACTATATTAATCTAATTAAGATATCTATTAAGTCTAGCTATACCGGTTCGAAGTTAGGCTAGTACGGTCGCTTCTTTCTATATTAGGCGATTATATAACTACCGGGTATATTTACCTAATAGTACGGAATCTACTTATTTTATATATCTTCCTACGTTCTCTCGTAGCTTATTACTAGGGACTACTTAGGACCGTACAATATTTAATATTATCGACTTTATCCTCGGAACGCGTTCTTATAGGAGAGTATCTTCTTATATTATAGTTCTAGCCTATTCTTTAGCTAGACCTAATAGCTTATTATCTTCGGTAGTAGGGATCTAGTGGAATTTAATACTATTTCTATTCCTCCGTATCCTACTTATTAGCTTATATATCTAGCAAACAAACTCCTAGCTAGACTATCGTCGAGGGTTCCTTAGCGTGAACGCCGCCGCCTTATTACTTATAAGTAACGTAATCTTATAGTCTTTAATTCCTACTACTATTTTTAATATATATACTATGGCTACTAGCTCCGTAGAGAACGGGTTTTGCTCTACTCGCGCGCCTAATATGACGGAAAAGGTTTTGAACTTCAATTTCCGATTTCGAGGAGGTTGTTTCTCGATTGCGACTCCAAACCCTACTAGCTCATTCCGTGCCGAGCTGCTAACCGCGATCTGCATCAGTCCGCCCGCTTCAGTCTGAGGCTTATCTTGTCCATCAACATTGATCTGTACGCGTTTATCCTATGGGGCCAACGTGAACGGGTTGATTGTTTCTAGTGTCTCCAGGTCGACGTGCTTAAGCGCGTCCGCTACGTGGTACAGTGGCGAGCGATGATATCGTCTGAACTTTCTGATCCGGTCTGTACCCCTGCGGAGAGGGTTAGTTTCAGGTAGCGTATGCATATCCGTCCACATTTTCACGGCCCGTCTCCAGAATCGGTGTCGTGCGGTGGCAATGTGGGCCTCTGCCTCCGCTACGCTGGTCGCGACCGTGAGGAACGTCCCCACAATGGCTTGTGCTCCAACTCTTTGGACTCGATTGATCGGCCCCATGGCCTTGTCCTTACACGCGTGCATCCAGACATTGGAGGCGTAGTCCACAACCGGCGCCACCGTTGATGTAAATAACTGCCGCGCTCTTTCTCTACTTGACGCTCTGTTCTGACATGGCGGAAGCTAACACAATCATGTTAATAGACCTGCTGTTTCATTGAGGGCCAGGCTAGAAGGTAAGGCATAACACCTAGCAACCTAATATCTGCCATTTCTTGTTCTGCAAGGATAGTCTTTCACCAGTCGCCTTCCAGAATCTTATATGCATCATCAATTGCGTTAGCTTCCTCTGCTTCATCGTCCGTGTCCCAATAAGCATCGTATTCGAACTGCCAATTCTCCTCCTCGCTAGAAGAATTCCAATCCTCGTTGGATAATGGGTCCAATTGGCTCGAATGGTCCAGATCCGACCCAGATAGTGCGTCTCTGTCGACTGAGCCAGGGAGCATTCTGGGCAAAGCACTTTCAAGTGTTGACATATCAAACGTCGCTTTAATCCGACTTCTGCGCAAGAAGAGATCGTTATGCTCCTTGAAAGCCGGTAGTATCTCGTCCTCGTACCAATGATCGTTTTCAATAAGGACGTCCCAGTCCCAGTGTGCCACAACCTCATCGGGCGTAACCTCCCAAAGACAAAGATATTCATCTTTGTAATAAGAATAAGCCCTCCCATATGGGTCTTGCACTTCATAATATTTCAATTCTGATTCCATTTCGACCATTGGTAGACCATAGGCGATACGAACGTTTGGATTTATAGCCGTAAGTGTTCTAGGGAAGCTTGGCCCCTTTCGCCTGGACAGAAACCTTAATAAACCCGGTGCCGACGCAGAAAATGATATGAATGGTGTCGGCTCCCATATTTGATAGTTGGCGTGTGTGGCTAGATATTCTTTTCGGCTTTCTTGTGAGCCCAACCGCTCCCGAGGCAAACGAGCCTACATTCTTCCTGAGTGATCTGGGTGACTGCCAGAGAATTTGTCCCACACCCGAAGGAGGGGACCAGAGTAAGCAGCATTGGGGGATTCGGCCCATGAGTGTTTAGAAAGACCTCTTTCCTTAAGAAGAGAGATACTATGGGCACACCTTTTCGACTACCGGCACACCTTTAGTAATTAATTCTATAGTGGACACTATTACCAAAGTCACTGTATTATTAAACCTAGTTTTCGCCTGGTATGATGATCAATAGTTATATGATTAAATATTACCGCCCCCCCCCCTAAAAAAGGATCACCTTATACCGCTACCTCTCTATTTTATGAAGCTATTCCTAGAACCCGCACTGTCGCTAGTATTATTAATTCTAGATACAAATAATATTGAAAATTCTCAATTTTAGTAGTATTAAATAGCAAATTCAATTTAATATTATATATATATTTTTGATTTAGTTAAAATTATGATTATTGAGTCAAAAATGACGCCGAAAACAATAGGTTTATGGGGAGGGAGAGGGAAGGGGGGAGGATGTAGGGTTTATAGGGTTTTTATAGTTATGTGACTTCAAAATAGGGGCTGATTTTTAAATACACTACCAAACGACTTTTTAGCACTTAGCTCTCCATTTCTCTTTATTGTATAGTATAAACTAGAGATTAATAATTACCGTCCTCGAGTCCCTCCCTTAGCCTACCCCCTCCTATTTCTAGTAGTAACACTACTAACTACGAGCTAATTATTAGAGTCTATTGTCTCCCCCTATATAGTCTAATTATTATTATGCCTCCTATTCCCTTACCTATTTCGCCCTAATTAACGTATGATTCCGGCCTCCTACGATTATATAATTTCGAATTACGATAGTTCTCGACGACTTAAGTTCTTAAAGCGCTATAAAGCCCGCGATAAGAGTATAGAGGACTACTAGGAGGACTACTAGGAGGACTACTAGGAGGACTATTAGGAGGATCTTACCGGGCGACTACGCGCCCGGATAATATATAGGTTTTATACCTAGAGCTCTATCACCCGTAGGTAGGTAGCTACTAGGTCTAGCTATAGCTAGTAATAACGGTAAAAATTAGC